AAACCCCTTGTACTATTGGCCTTATTTTATAATCCCGATGAATTTATGAGTACAGTAAAAGTATACATTCAGACATTTAGGAGGAAACTGAGCAAAGAATCTCCTTTTCGATAATTTCCTCTTCTGGCTGTACACTCATATATATATATAGAATATTCTTAAATAATCGTCATTAACAGTATTGGTTTTATTAAATACATTTGATCTGTTAAGTAAGATAAACGGAATTACAGTTCAAGAAGGACGCTCAAGTTATAATAAGCATAAAAATGTAATAGCAAATAGAATATCAAATAAAATTAAGGAAATTTCTGCAGTAAGTTGGGGATCATTAAAAGCTTTATGTCTAAGGTAAGGACATTGTCTGGACCAACTTTTGTTGGATATATAAGTTGGGTTTCTTAATGTAGATCGCAAGAACCTCAGCAATATTATATAGCTGGAGGCGATCGGCAGGAAGCCTTGGACCCAGCTTTCCTGCTAGTTGGCACTCAGCAACCAGCCAGCAAGGCGTATCTACAAACTTGAAGGAACTCATGTCCCTTCTTGTGGAGATTCGAACCCGCGTCACCCAGTGCTGCAGTCTGGGACGTTACCACTGAGCTATTCGGGCTCACGATTGACTTCCTGTAGGACTGTAGTGGGTAGTTTGATTGGACACTAGTAACTAGTGCATCATAATGGTGAGCTACCTAGAACAGTAGCCACGTTGCAAACCTGACTGATAGAATTCAGTCTGCACCGAAGCGAGAACTAGAAACGTCACACTAGTTACTAGTGCCCAATCAAGCTACCTCAGCAATATTTAGAAGACAAACTCTTAAGGTTAAGCTAAGATTAGTTAGTGTGTGGTATATGAATTTGAAAGCCGCCTTGCTATCTGTATTTGCGAGATGAGACAGAATGGAGTTGTGAATGAATTCCGTTCGTCCCTTACTTAACTACACAGGATGATGTTCAGAAATCCGACAACAAACACACCTAATTGTACGGCCTATATAATCAACTCCGCAGGAGTAGTACTTTTAACTTGATTTACATGAATTAAACGGAATATTTATCTGAAATCATCTTGTTTCGCTAGCGAACTTCATGAACTAAATGTTATCTCATTAGTGAGTATATCTGTCAAATACACCAAACGGTGATTAAAGAATATTCAACTCAACTTAACAGTTGAGCCTTATTGGTCTTTTCAATAATGGTTAGTTAGAAAGTACACAACTAATTATTTTTCATATGACATGATTGTCAGTTTGCATGCTTCCTGAACTACTCACTGACGAGAAAGTAAGTATTAAATGTAAATCTGTCAGTATCTTACTTTTTATCATTTTTGCTTAGAAGAGAGAAAGAGTTTGGAAAGGAAAATACCAAGGTAAGCAAGACGCATTCTGTGTCCATTATACAAATAATAATAATAACAACTTTAAGAAATACATAAATCTTAATACTTGTCAGTTATTTAAAACTGAAGACAAAAATTGTCCTTCCAAGAAAAACAAACAAAATGCAACTTAAACTTAAAACCTAAAATTTAAAATTACTGTTTAACAGGAAGTACTTTTCTTGACAGAAGTTATTTTATTTCTTCTACATAAGAAAATGTTTCACTTGTTTTCACTGCTCTTTTATGCACCCACATAATCCGATTAGAGTAGAGTATCCATCTATCTATCTATAAGGCATAGGTGAGATTTAATCCCATTGTGAATACATAAAATGCAGCTAAACAAACTGAAAACAAACTTGCATATATGAGATTTTAGGAGAAAACTCAGATATAAAGATAAGTCTAGTTGAAATTAAGATAAGCAATAATTTTACTGATTGTTAAAGTTATTCGTCACTTCGGTTCCTAATGGATTATACGGTTTCCACAGCAGATCATTTTTTCATTCTACCTCTACAGTATTTAGCTGATTGCTGCATGACTCTCCATAAGATTTCTTTTCCTCCACTAACGATCTCCTTCAAGCACCCTCCAACCTACGTCCAATTCGTCGTTTCCTATTAAGGTTCTATTTAAAGGCCTGGTGCATGATTTTACCTTTACTTATACTATGCTGTGAATTCCTTTAACTTTACCTACTTTACAGTTGCTTGTAGTAATTTCAATTTTGGATAATTTTTCTTCTTTTAACTGATAGAAATCAACAGTTGAAACTTTGCATCTAATTAAAGTTAATTTCTTTTTTGCTAAACAATCAAAACATGTAATACAACTGATAATTTTGAGACATTTACTTCATGTTCATTTAAACACTTACTCCTCTGTCTTCTTTTATGTGCATCACTGACTTTCCCTTTTTGGATCTCGGAAAGTAAAATCACAGAATCTCTGAGTGATTTACTAATTGCAAATAAACAATAGTATCTCCTAATCTATCTATCTATATATATATATATATATTAATAGCTCGTGATCCATGGTTTGGTGTTGGCCATTGTTAACGACCAGACCAACTTTGGCAGACTACTGTTGACTGGTAATGGGTGATAATAAATAGTGAAATGAAAAACAGGATCCGAACCCATGGTCTCCAGATTATTAGACTTAAAAACTAAATGATTTCGTGTAACTAGAAATAAGCTCATGAAATTCAGCTTAAACGTGCTTATTTTCTAGATTAAGGATTAACCAGTTTAAGAAAGATGTATCTCATCGTTGAAAACCATGTCAATTCCCTGTAGATTACATCACAATAAGCATCGTTAATGGTGGTCATGCAGTTCATATACACTTAGATACATTAAATTTACTGGTACTTTAGTTTCTACCCAAGGTTTGCAAAGAGAATACAAATTACTGACAACAAAATAACTGAAATGGAATATTGATATCTCTGTCATCTAAAAATCGATTACCGTCCTAGTTTCTGTGAACAAATTACTGGTTTCCTTCCATTAGATTGATCGTATTTATCCTTATAATGAAAACCATTTCACATTTCCTCCACCTATTACAGTTTCCTCTATTTCCTCCACCTCTTTACGTAATAAAATAAAGTAATTTTGAACAATTATGGGAAATTATTTAGTGGTCACAATGATTGACATTTTCTAGCATCTATTTCCTTTCCTTATACATTCCATCAAAAATAACAAAACACAATAGTAAACTCATTGAATTTCCAAGAAAATATTAAAACTTTTTGTAGCCTAAATAAACTGAAGATTCCTATACTAGGATGAAACAGGAGTCCAGTACTTCCAGGTTTTCACTGGTTCTCTAACTGACATTAACTTCTTATCAAACTTGAAACAAATCAAAGTCCTACCAACTAACTCCTAAAAATTAGTCTTCTACTTACTAGTGACTGTCTACAGAATGAAGTTGTCTGGAGTTATAGTGAGAAATTTTGATCAGTAAAGTCCACCAAGTTGCGCGTGGGGATAAATACTTACCAATGACATTAGCTGATGGTGACGCTAAAATAACGAATCGGCAGAAGTTTAAATTTTATGGGCCATTGGATCGGGTCCTATTAGATGAATGATCTACGCGCTTGAACTTGTGGTCGAAGGTTCCTGGGTTCGAACAGCGGTTGACGGGTATTGCTAAGGAGTCAAAATCTAGGACGAAACATCTATCGAGTGCTTCGAGATTTCCAATGGTCCTCTAAATGATATCAATCATTAATCAAACATCAAAATGTGTCCTATCACCTTTTGGCACTCTACAGCCTCACTGATCAAATTTTCTAAAAATAAATCCCCTCTAGTCTGCAGCACCTCAAGGTTAAGCTGCCCAAGCGTTTTCACGCAAAGTATACCCTAAAGCCCGTAAACAGAATTTATAATACCTGATTCCTTTTTGTTATCATTCAGTATGAAAAACATTAGTTTGACTACATACAAACTCGTATCTTCAGTTCATAAAACACATTTTCTATATCTAATAATTTTTGTTTCTCTGTATTGTAAATTACATTCACATAAAGCTTTAAATTACTCTCAAAATTAAAAGAGGAGAATTTAAACAAAAAAGAGGATAAACCAAAAATTGAATGATTATTTTATTGAATAAAAATTAATCATTGCTTAAGTAATTATGATTTTCTTGTATAGGTAATAGAAAATATTGAATAGCAATAATATAAACGATAATAATGATAATTGTTTAACTCATTGAGTTGCTTTGAATTCCTTTCAGTGTTGTGCTTTTAGTCTTTTTCCGCTTGAGTAGTCTATTCGATCTCATTTGGATTTCTTCATACTAATGTTTTGGTTTAATACATAAGTGTCCTCATTACTGATTAAAATGAAGTCAACTTTTGAAAATAGTAAATAATGGCAACAAATTATCGATAATAAACGAAAATAGCAGAGCAAACACATGCGATGTAAAATATTTCTGTTCATATGGAAGTTAATTAAATCTAATTTTTATCAGAAAAAAACAAAGTAAAACAAATGAATGAATTGAAAATTGATCACTGTCTATATATATATATATATATATATTATATCGCAGCAGTAGGCAGTTATTCATTGTAATAGCAGCGGCAGTGGCAGAGTTAACGGCTATTATCAATCGGTATTAACAGAAGTAAAAGTGTAAAATACAAAGATATATACGTATATTTGTATGTATTCAAAAAAAGAAAAAAAAACAAATAGTGGAACAGAAAGTCTATCATTTTTCTTGTAAAGAATTGAAGATTAACAATGAATAGCAGCTCGATATTTTGACAAATTAATGAAAGGTTAGGCTGGGGAAAAGAAATAGTAATTCTAACGACACTTGCTTAAAGGCTGATAATATGATAATGCTCTTGGTAGATAGATAGATAAGGCATAAAATGTTGTAAGATTTTAAATGTTTGGTTAAAGAATATTAATAGGTACTCTGTTCTTTCTTAATCTCTGAATGTTCTCATTAGTGTTTATATATTTCTGAGTGTGTGTATGTGTGTGTGTGTTATTTCAATAGTACAGGATAAATAAAGAGTAAAAATTAATCACAAACATGTTAGAAATTGAGAGAAACAAATATTTTACTTGTCATTATGAATGCAATTTAAATCTTCCTAAAAAAGAGAATAAAAAGCAAGTGAATTATTTTAACCAGTGTTAAGAATATAAACAGAAATATGCTAATTGTGTATTCTTACTGGAAACTTACATTGCAGGAAATATGTTTACTTTGTGTATTTTGAAACATTACGAAATTAAAAGCCCATGAATAGTAATTATTTGTTTATTGATTCATATTTATATAGAATGTGAATTTTGATGTTCCTAGGTAAGGAGGGGAAATCAATCGATGATGTTGTGAAGTTACACCGATTGAGATGGTTGGGACATGTCCTACGCATGCATGCCTAGTCATCGCCTTCCTCGATGGGAAATGTTAGCTAACATAGAGTTAGGTTGAAAAAAACCAATGGCGGTTAAACCAAAACACGGTACCAGTCAATGAAACCCACAAATGTTAGGTAATTGTAGACTGGCTTCCCATTTGGGGTCTTCGGGATGGTAAAAACCATTGAAGGCTGTAGATAACGGGTAATATGGCCTAAAATCGTTCCTAATGGCTGGAGCAGTTGCATTTCACTCTTTCTGATTTATAGTATTCGGTAAAATCCTACCGTTCTTTCATATTACTATTCTTTTTTCCTCATATTTCTGTTTGTTGTCTCTTTTGAATCTCTCTTTACTCTTATCTCTTGCTTTGTGCTCTACATAAAGTGTGGCGACTCGAACTGGTGCACATGTGTACAAAGTTCTACTTTGAAACCAGTCGGTCAGTCAATCATGTTCGTAGTCACTTATGCAATACATGCCACAGCGGTTCATAGGTAGAATGCCTGCCAACCACACACGTGATTCGAGCTCAGTTTCCGGCTGACGCATCCTTAAACCCCATTTAGTTTACTAGCTGACAGTAAGTCTGAAGAAGGAAGGTTAAACATGGGGCTTGCGACATAACCTCGAAAAAACAAGCTCAATGTTACTGAAACTAGAAATCTTTAAGCAGCATGTTCCACAAGGAATGCAAAGAAATAAAACGACATTATTTAGATTTATTTATTTTTTTATATTTTTCCTTCACGTTCCCCAGTGGAACATAGGGCTTCAAGCTAGTGGCTTGAAGTTTCTGTAGCAATGTTTATTTTACAGGATAGGGTTGCTAGCCTCATGCCCAACCTTTCCTCTTTACCAGCATTATTTCTGGCTCAGTAAGGTAAAGGAATGTGTCGGCCGGGGATCGGACCCCGGACCATGAGAATGGTCGGCGAGCGTCCTAACCGCTATACCACCAACGCATTACTTAGATTACATTGATCTAATTAATAAGCTTTCAGCCTTTCGATCGAAAAATTCGGGATATTTTTCTGACCAGACTTATGATTAAAGTTGATATAGACAGTCATAACTTCACAACGTTAAATGTTATCAACCAGAATTTCGGTGGCCTGGACTGAATTGGTTCTCTAAACTGGTTCAAACTGGATACATTGCTAATGAGCTTGACTACAAATGATCGAAACCGCTTTCTGTGGTTTACATCAGCTTGATCTGTCTAGCAAACCCTACTGGTTGACCGAACGGTTTGAAAAATTTTACATTTCTGGATAATTGTCACAGTGAACTGTGTAACTTGCAAGTTGCGCATCTTTTAGTTTGTCAGATGGAGTTTTATTCAGCCAGGTAGATAAATTTGGACATCTCTTCATTCGCATGTATTTTCGCATTTCTCTTCTTTCTTTGTATGACTAATTGTTGACTGTTTATGCATACATCATAACAGTGGTGTTCTGCAGTCTGATATTAGATGTCAAACACTTCTCATGCTTACACAACAATTCCTGGCTGTAAGGCATATGGTACTATTTTCTCTCTGCGCATAAAATCCCCCTTTTACTACGCATAAACTATGTCCCAAATCTCTTTATGTGAAAGTCCTTCCATTAGAAAATCAAATAAGTGACTCGGAGTAGAGAATCTCTTTGACGAGTTTATTATTAGGCTATACATTCTTATACAGAGGACGTTTGTCCAGCCAATCCCTTCGTCTTGTTTATTCACACCGTCTATCTGCCCTTTATTACTTCGATCGCTATAATTATTTTCATTTTGATCAACTTACGGTATCGTCTCACCAGTCACTCTTTATAATTTAATTGATTATAATTGCTTTGTGATCCTGTGTTCCCAAAACTCCCATCTATTTACTTAATGCTTTAATCACCAATTGATCTTAATAACTTTACACACCTTTCTAAGATTTATACATTCCATGAACTGTTTAATAAATTAAATAACCTGTTTTACTTTATGTTTACCTATGAATATAATCACAAATAAACGGTCACAGTTCACATTGACTTACAAAAATTTATATATATATATATATATATATATACGACCGTATAGCCTGAAGATAAATTCGTTGAAAAAGTCTCCTAGCGAAAGCGCTTGTTTTTACTTTTTAAAATCTTGAATCCTCTTCTAGATTTATGTCATTATGTTATTATACCACTGCAATAACAGCTTTCTTGAAATGTGCCATTTTATTCATATTCGTCAAATAGGTATGGGCGAAAAGCAGTCTTATAAATTTCAGTTACACCCTTCAACACTTTGTGAAAAGAATAACAACTGGTTATTAGTTGTTATAATTTTATGATTATTTAACCTAATTCCATTCAAAGGAAATATATGTGCAATATTATTTGTTTTTATTTGGAAAGAGTGTTTATGACCTTTCGTACTGTGATAACATTTTATTAATATATATATATATATATATATATACTATATTCATCAATGCTTTGAGGACATATTTATTAAAGCGGAAAGATTGTTCCAAAAAGTGTACTGTTCTTTTATGTAATCCAACTTCCTCTTTTTCTTAATGTGATTAATATTGCTGTTTAACTATATTAACGTGTCAGTGGTTCATGCATTTTTCTTTCGGATCACGCATATTTCAACTTGGAGGTTGAATTTTCAATCTAGTGACCAGAATTTAATATATGCGTGTTTACCACCCAAGTGTTATACCTTGGGAAGTATATATTTACATATATTTTACAATGTCTTATAACTTATCACTTTGTTTATGCACTCTACTCTCGTTTGAATTGCGTAGTCTTCTTCTGTTTGCTTTATCGACTTAATGTTAATAGGAATTTTAACATTCTGAGAAATATTGAAATCACTGAATATTTTCTTCGTGAATTCAGTGATGGAGCAAATCTTTAAAATATAGTCGTAAGACGTTTAAATTCTGTATTAGTAACTGGAGACTGAACAGTAATTATGCTCTTCTATATGTATTGGGTAACCTCACCTAGTTAACTAGCGTGCTGGTTTTCTAATTGGTCCCAAGTCTGGGTAAAGAGGGAGGGTTGGGCGTGGCACTAGCGACCCTACACCACAAAAGCTATCAAACCGCTAGAGAAACCTCAATGCACATAAATATATCAAAAAAAAAATACAAAATCTTCAAATAACAATCTTATTCTTTCCTGGAATCGGAGAGGTGAAATGACACAACGGGCTTGTGAAAGCAAGCCTTTGGGAAGCCAGTCAGCCAGCCGATGCATCTCCTCTGGATGAAAGCAAGAACAACAGTGGGGACCTGGAATGGTTATTGGGTCATTTAAAGGGGGCAGTCTGTTTCATTTTAAGTACTGTGGATTTATTTGTAATTCGACGTGCTTTGATTTAAACCACGTTATTTGTGCCTTGTCTGCAATACATGTGCGATTAATGAAGATACAAAACAAATCTAGAATTACTTTGCTTTAAAAAGAATATTTATACTACTCTCATTACGATAATTAGGGAACAAAATTAGAGCAGATATATATTCTCAGTAATTTCTCATCTGGTTTTACAACTACATGAGAAAAATTACTGACTATGGACATTTAATACCAATGTGTTATATAGAATTAAAGTTCAAGTATATGAAGAGGCCATCGAATGACATCGCGTGCCAGGCCAAGGCTTAAGTAGAATCCAAATAGGAAGCGACAAGTGGGTCGTCCTAGGGTGCCATGGAGGAGACTGTGCGAGAGGAAATGAGAGATTATGGGCAATCCTGGACCCAGCTGAGGAGGACAGCAGACAATCGAACAAAGTCAGGATGTGTAGTTGAATCCCTATGCTCTACTTGGAACCCAAGGGATTAATAATAACAGTAGTATGAGCTAGTGGATAATAATCAAGGTGACCAAAGTAACAAAAATAATAAAAGGGATAGATTCATGTAAGTGTTTTTATAATCTAAGTAGTCATTTTATGCTGTTTATCACAGTGGTATCAAATGTCAATGCTTAGTAATTTTATCATGTAGCTAAAAAGGCCAAATGACAAATCAATAAAAACACAATTGCTTAGATTGTGTTCCCTAAAATAAAACTGTCTTACTGAAATTGTTTCATTTTGTAGGATTTTACCAGTATATTGGATTTCCACTCTGTTATCTAAAGTCTTTATAATTTTTTACTCCATGAATGATCACATACTTCCATTTCGTCCTTACACGATATCTGTAATGTCACAGTCGGACCTGTGTCTTACTAGTCTTTTTCCATTTTGGCTCCACTCCAGACGGTCTTTCCAACACATTTCGAATCGATCTGTGTTCCCTTCTGCAAACTGGTTGGGCAACAGGTCCCCTGTTCCTTATCCTTTCCTCGTGGTTATGTGATCTTCAGTATGAGGCGAAGGCATGAGCTGATGAAAGCATGTCCTAGTCTGTTGAAAATGGTTTTCATAAACCGCCAAGTTTCTGAACCACATACAAGCAGTTAATTGACATTAGCGTTCAAAACTTGGATGTAGTTCCTTATGCGGAGTCTAGTGAATTTCCACACCGATTTCAGAGTAGTTCAGGTATACTTTTATTTCGATCCCTGTTATGGTAAGTGCAGGAGACGGCCTCCTTTCCCGCTGATGGTAACTGATGTTAATCGTTGGTTGGTTAATTCTTTTTTATAAAGTTCTTTCTTCATTTACTTTTTTCTGATTACCTAAAATTTGTAAATAGTTAGTTTTACTTCTGAACTTTCAGTTGTTTTCTAAGACAAGAATTTTTTGTATATCGTGAACAACCTTCCCAAAAAGTGTTTATACACATTTTACTACATTAATAATTACTATTTTACTGCTTCAAATCATTGTTTATGTCATACAAAACTATAAAAACATATTTGCCGACATTTTTTATTCTACTTTCATTCTACACTGTGTACTACATGTCTAATTTTATTGATTCATTTACAAACTGTTTTAGTTCATTGTTGCATTTTGGATGTCGAATGCACCAAAGGTATTCTTATTCAGTTCACAGTGTAGTTATTATGTTCTGTAAGTGTACCGCTTGTTTTCGGTTTACTAAACAAAGGCATAAATAAATCCGAATGCTTTAAGTGAATGAATGAACTTATCGCTGATTTTATAGAAGTTATGTTGACTTCAGATATTAAAAAAAAAACAGAAACAGCCAACTTACCCATAGTTCAGTTAAACGTTGTTTACACATTCAAAGCCAATATCAGAAATTCACTTTCACACTAAACTAGAACAAACTGGATAACCTCACTATATCAGTGAAGATCAATTTGTGAAGTCAATAAAACTACATAATATCAATGTAGTACGGTACGGTAAAGAAAAATAAAATAAACTAACCAGACTAGTACTCACCTTATTTTCTCAATTGCATTTAGCTTTAAACATGATCAGTGCAATAGTAGGCATTATCTTTAATACAGAATTGTTTACCGGCCAAACTTTGATGACATGAAGCACATGTGAAACAATTTTTATGATAAGCTCTTTCGTTATATGTCATATATTGTTCGCATGGATCAATAATTTTATTACACGTCTGTAATAGTAAATATTAGAAATAGAAATAGAATAGATGATATGTGACCACTTAAAACTAAGCATGTACGAAGTAAAAAAATGAATAAAAGAAGAGTAGGATTCCTCTTCAAATAATAGCTGAAATGAAAATGAGAGTAAGTGAATTTCTACTAGAACGATGATGAAAATTGAACAACATTGAAAATGAATATATCTACCAAGTGATGGCTGTAAATCTAGCTGTAAGTCTCCTGATGGATGAAACGGTGAGCCAGAGGCTATTTAATTACACAATGATTGTTATATTTAAGCAAGACTCTCATTTTACTCTCTTATAAATATTCGCATTAGACTCAAAAGAAATTCATGTCAACAGGCAGACGATTTTACCACAGTGCTCATTTCAGGTCACTTAATTTACAAAAGATGTTACTCAGAACGAACTGTCCAGGTGTAGATGACATCTTCACTAAACCATTGTAATTTATTGTCATTAGTCTACATTCCTTTGGGAACAAAACTCAGATAATTATATGCAGGGAGTGAGTATTTAGAGAATGGAGTTTATTTTGAAAGATGTTGAATCGTAACCCAAAATACACCAGTCTGAATGACCCATACTAGGATACTAGAAAAGAAAACGAAGTATACCTGGTGCAGAAGGCCACATATACAAGCATGAAACCATGAATATGCAGTTTTTTAAACTTTTACCTTTGAGGCTTGTTGCCTAAATATAATTATGAAGACTTATTCAATGAAACTGATAAATTTATTACGTCGGCTTAGTTTTATTGTTGAATGTACAATAACATTTCTCAAGTTACATACTCAAAAAATCAGAAAATGTTCTATAGTCGTTCAGAGGTTAGTCATAATCTGAACGTGGTGAGAAATTAAGAGAAAGATCGAGTTATGTGAACACCAAATAATATATCATATTAGGTGGATTAATCTGTCAACTTGGTAATTTGAAACGAAGCATTATAATAATACAACCAAAATTAAACTTGACAATTATGCTAATAATTAATAAACATATAAAAGTGACCAAAATGAGAATTTTGTATTTGGTTATGAACTGAAAAGTGTATTGAATATGAAACTGCTACAGCCAGGATATTTGCTAACATTTTAAACTGGCACCAGGCTTTTCCTATATAGTTCTGATTCTATGTTTTATTCAAAATTTTCATCTCTAACAATGTTTAGTATATACTACTCATTCTTATTGAAATCAGTAATAAAAAGTACAGACTTTCTACTGACTACTTATGTAACATATGGTATTGTGAGGTTATCATTTTATAAGAAGAAAGTTAGTAGATGTGAGAGTATTAGTCACTTTTAAAACTGTTTCAAATGACAAAATTTTATTGAGTTGCAGTGAATCAAATATGATAACATAATGATAGTAATGTTTATCTTGAATAAAAATTATTTCATGTTTAATAATCTGTTAGGATTTCATATTTTTGTCTTACAATTCTATGCTAATATAATAAATTCCTTTTAATTCGGGATATAAAAAAATGTCTTACCTTTAACAAAATCAATAATAATAATGTGTGGAAAACGAAAATTCAAGAGGAATTTTAATCGTATGATAAGTGAGTAAATTCAGAAGAAGATTTAGTTGGTTCGACCAGTTTTGTCAACGTATTTTACCAGGGATTAGTGTAAAGAACCAACTCTTAAATTTTAATTTTTTTTAATTTCAAAATGATGGATACACCTCTCGTTTCATCATATCCTGGTAGTGGTGCAGTGGCGCAGTGGTTAGGACTCTCGCCAACCATGCACATGGTCCGGGGTTCGAGCCCACACCGACGCACACCTGATATCTATGGTCGGCCTGGGAAATTTGGGCTACCGATATCCACGCTGAAAATTCCATACCTGTACCAAAAATACAGTGTGGAATCAAGCTGTAATCAAAAATAAAATAAATAAAATAAAAAAAAAAAAATAGTGATTTGCTTTATTTCTGTACCTTAATTCTCTTCAATTCACTTCGTAAAAGAACTGTAGGTATACTACTTCCAAATATGTGTTTGTTTTTATTAACCTTTTCTGATTTTCTCCTCAATTTTTTAACTTCGTTTCCAGAACTTAAATCAGTTGAATCTCAGTTTTAATAAACCTTCTTGATCACATGAATATTCAGCATACGACTTTACAGGAGATCGTAACAATGCAAATATATGTTTCCGGGTGGATTTTCTCATGAACCGACATCACTTAGAAAACCAGTGCGAACCAAAGATGCACTGACTAGTCGTTTCATTCTGAACTTGAACTCTTCAATAGTGTGAACTAATGACCAGGAATCATGAATCCCAACTTCTGTCAACCGGTAATAACTCCTGCCACCATCAATCTATGCTATAAGCAGTGTAAATTTGCAGATCAAATATAGTGGATCCCAAAGATCATGACGTCTCGCTTAAACTCATGTAAGTCAGTCTGTTAGGCAATCACTGATGGGTGTTTAATTAATTTCAAAGTGTTATATTTATGTACATACTGTATATGACTCAATTCATTTTCGAAAGTGTCTCCTTCATAAAACTTCAAGAATATGTTGACTTATTTCAAGAAAATGTAGGACAAAAATGTCCCACACGAATAAAGAGTAATAAATACTCTAAAATTCACCACTGCAACAGTCCCTATTTTTAAATTCCTTTACATTCCCAGTGGAACATAGGACTTCAAGCCACAGCTTTGTATTTTTAGTAGAAGTGATGCTTTTTTTACGGGGTGGGGTTTCTAGCCTCACGCTCAACCTCCCCTCTCTGTGAGGATTATAACCGGCTAAAAGAGGCAAAGGTGTGAGCCGGGCAGCACTCCAACTCCGGACCACGTCATGGTCGACCAGCATTCTATCGCTGAACCACCGACGTAACAACTACTATAATATCATCTAAAAGCAATTTCTAGTGGAAAAATTGTCATTTGTATGTTCGTTGTGTACTATTAAATAATTCAACTGCCAGTAGTCTTGATATAGGTGAAAAAAGAGAATAAATTTTCCTAAAATACTAAGTTTCATTCCAAATGCATACGAGGCTTTCTTTTGCTATTGTTTTTTTCTTTTACTAACTTAATGTCGAACATTAAACGGAGAAATAATCATATATCTAGATAAAAGCTAATTGTTGTAAATCTATAAAACCATTTGTCAAGAATATAGAATAGATGGCATATATATACATATACATATACCAATAAAATGTTAAATCTTTACTGTAGAAACATTTCAGCGTAAGCAGAGAAACAACATAGATCATTTAAAGATAATATCAGACCACTAAAGCCTGTCTGACATTCAAGTAATTAATGGTAAGTCATTAAAGTCATTAAAGAAAACTAAAACACAATAAAACCATCCAATCTTTTGTGTAAACTTGTAAAGTTTAGATTTACAATTAGCAGTAATGTTGTACTGTATAGTAAGTTTCATGTATAGCTGTTATTTTATGAATAGAATGAAGTGGATTACGAAATGGGTTTTTTTATAAAAAAATAATTTGGCATAATTTTATGAGAATCACTCGAATAGATTTAAATGAATACACGTTTTACTCTTCTGTCTAATTTTTATTTTTCATTACATGCTTAAGTGGTACTTTTGTACATACACCTAGATAAATTTAAAGCAGTCAGTGTGTATATGATAGTACCATGGAGATTGCATCAAAAATCAGAATCATGTGAAGAAGCAGGGAAAAGCTGGAATCACTAAGCAGGTAGTTTGTTATTACCAGTTAAAATTTAGATATAAGAACATTTATTAACAGGTGACATTGAACTGCTATAGTACTATATGAGGCAAATTGTTAAGAGTATTGAAATTATGGATGCTTAGGTCTCAACCCAGCGACTAAATGTCAGCGAACTAGAATGAAATCAGGTATCCTGCACATCTTAGTTGTGTAAATAATATGGGTTCATAGTGAAATCTAACTTGAAATGATGAAGCAAACTACAGTGAGCAAATGTGGATAGTTAAACTTTACCTGGTGAACGCTATGAAAAGTAAGATTTTCTACCAAGTTGCAGCTAAGACAGGACTTCAAGTGAACATTGAGGAAACAGCGGCGGTGGAAACACTTAACCAAGAACAAACTAGTCACTGTGAATGGGAAGCCACCTTTTTCACTTACCTCAGTAGCATCATTTCAACTACGGGAGACACAAATGACGTTGTCACAGACGATATCAGAAAAGTAATAAACACCTTCATTGTTCTGGAATCGTTGTGGAAATTTGCTCTACTTATCATGAGTAAAAAGTTTCGAAATTTCAATACTAATGTCAAGTCAGTGCTTTGATGCGGTTCAAAGACTTGATAAACGCTTCACGGAATGCATTTCCAAGAGATTTTAGCAGACTTTTATCATCAGCTGCTTGGGCTCAGTATTAAAATTTGGATGAACAGGGAGTATAAACCATAAGAAACTACTCCAACGAACTGACAAAGAACTTATTACCCAGCAAATATGCAGAATTAAGTGGAGAAGGATCGAACTTACACTGAGAAAATAGCTGAATACTGTCACACTACAGGCTGTCCACTGGGACCAGTATAGGAAACGAATATTTGGGTGTGGGTCTGACTTTACAGGGGAGCAGATCATGTGAGGGGAAAACAAAATGCTATGAAAAATCATAGAGTTGGTAGTGAACGGCGGCGGACAACTTAGTGAGCTGAAGATGTACTGCTAAAACCATATGTTCCACTACGAACCTAAGGGAATAATGCTAATAATACTTATCATATAGTTACGAATAAACCGACATCATTGAGATGTATTCTGATCAGCGAAGAATGTGTTAGAAAAGCAACCTAGACGTTGTTACCTTAATAATGTAGTGGTGAAACATCGAGGCTAAGTGATTTATAAGCTTAGAAATTAAGTTCATATGGATTTCACATTTCAATTACACGGACACTAAATAGATTATTTACAATAGTTTATGTAGTATTATGATTACTGTTATTATTCATTCCTT